GCCCTCCCAACCTGAGTCTGAAATAAATGATGATCCCATCAGCAAGAAGAGTTCCTCACCATGTTTTTGCTAGCATGAAAATGTATTCATCACCATGAGAGAGGTTGTGCAGGTGAGGACTAATGTGAACAATATTAAGAGGAAATTTAGACAGATAAGTGAAACCAATCGAGACATGTCCTCAGCCTGTGGAACAGGGTATCCTGTGAGCATACAGGTCCATCCAAACGTTACAGAATCTGTTTATTGTCGTCAAATCCCATGAAATGACCAAATTATTAGTGGGGTCGGTTGGGATACTTTTGTATTACCATGAAATAACTTTAAACAGTAGTGAAAATAACTAACTTAACTTAAAATAACAGTGTCTGCTAAACAGTTATCAGGTTTTTTAAATCCCAACCCAAACGTGACAGGCACAGTGTTGCTAAGTGTACAAGCAGTGCATTTTGTAGAAAAGAACATGGTGTCCCAACTGACTCTAACCACTGTAGGATTGGTTGGGACACCTTGATCTAGGCTTTACAATGTCTCTTGTTCACACATTGCTTTGAGAACAGAAAACACTATAAATTACTGAGATATGGAATTTGACACAATATTGTCCCAACCATTCCAGGAAGAGCAGAGACACTCCTGTGCCATATGGTAGGACAAAAGTCAGACAGCCAACACTAGCGTCAACTGATGTGCTAGAAAATCAGCTTTCCAACATTTTGTTTTTTTGTATGTGGCACAACTAAAACAGTACTGTCAATAAAAAATAACAAAAGACCCAAGACTGTACTTACATGCTGTGGTTTTCGAAACTGTGAGTAAAATGTGAGGAATAGTTAGAAGATCTCCACTCTGGGATTGAAAGTGAAGAGGATTTGGTTGGGTATGAGCATGGTGAATGGGACAGGCATAGTGGTTTTCCAACTTGCTAAGAAGGCACTGTCCCCACTGTCCTCTTGTCCCAATTGACCACACTTTCCCCTACTGTATAGACCTTTTTCACAGCAGACGTTTTGACTTGCCATGGTAAGGAAAGCACAGGTGTATTCTATATTTATTCTATATTTTTGTTTGTATTTTGTAGTGCAGCCAACAAACAGGCCGACAACTTAACAATCCCAAGCAACCTCAGAGACAGATATCTCCAAACCTGGCCACATAAAACTAAAACTATCTGCATGTTTAAACAGCATTATGGTGTGTGAGTGGTAAAATGTGTTTGTCCTGAGACAGTCTCTATGGATAACAGGAGGTCAACCAGAGCGTGGAGAGTTACCACTGGATGATGATACGACCACCAAACACATGGCAGTATAGTCATAGATGTTATCTCCATGCCTATCTTATTATTGTCTTTCCCATCCTCAGCTGTTCCTGTTCCACAATGTGACCATCATCCATCCTGAGGACTTCACTCAGTGCACCACACGTGGAAGTTTTGTCACTCACTGGCATGAAACAGCCTACAACATGTTCACGTTCTCCTGCCTGTTCCTGCTGCCTCTGGTCATCATGATCACCTGCTACACCAGGATCTTCTGTGAGATTTCCAAACGACTGAAAAAGGACAACTGTGAGTTCAGATGAAGCCCTGTGGATCACTTTAATAAAGTGATGAGCTCTTATTTCACATAACCCCTGCTGCAGTTTGACTGACCCTTTTATTCATGGAGGGACACTGATAAAAGCTGAGCTGTGTTTGGTAGATGATTATTGTTTTTTATTCTTTAACCCACACAGGGCTGTGGGGCTTCAACAGGACAGTTCACCCCATATATTCCGTTTCGGCAACCAATAGTAACCACTTTTAAAAGTCAGTATTGAGCCATGTAACGTGAACTATGTTTTGTGTCTGTCATCTGCTCTTCTCCCAGTGCGCTCCAATGAAGTGCATTTGCGGTGTTCAAAGAACAACATCCCCAGAGCCCGGATGAGAACGCTGAAAATGAGTATTGTGATCGTCTCGTCTTTCATTATCTGCTGGACTCCATATTACCTCCTGGGCCTGTGGTACTGGTTCTTCCCCAGCGACCTGGAGGGGAAGGTCTCCCACTCACTGACCCACATCCTGTTCATCTTTGGGCTCCTCAACGCCTGCCTGGACCCAGTCATCTACGGCCTGTTCACCATTCACTTCCGAAAGGGGCTGCGGAGGTTTTACTGCAATGCCACTGTGGCATCCGATCTGGACAACACGGTTTTAACTGGATCTTTCACTTGTGCTGCCAATTCTTTGCCAATGAAAAGAGAGCTGAGCCGTGCCAGCCAGGAGAGGTTCATCCTGTGTGGTGATAACCACAGCAAAGCAGAGTCCATGTCACCAAGGAGCAGCTTTTTAACAGCAGACAACGATACAGAGAGAGATCCAAACCAGTCCAGCCCTGAGAGCATCATGTGAGGAGAGTACGTGATGGAGACTCTCTGACCGTTTTTACTAATTCAATTTATTCAGTGTCTGTCTTGTGTGGGGTCCAGAATTCCTTGACATTTCTATGTCAATTTGACTAACATGCCTCTGTATAAAACGCAAAGGCCAAAAATCCTAACTGCTGTTGGTTGGAAAACACAGAACTTTGTATTTTCTTGAAGAGGGGAAGTTTTGTAAAATAAATACCTAGAACATAACAACCTTATGTTATAAAGGAATGTTTGGTGCTCTGTACATTGTAACTTGTGCTCATCTTGAATTAAATGTTTTCACTGGGACCTGGAGTTTCTATTGTAATAATTCTAAAATATAGCTGAAACTGTAAGCATGCGTTCACGTGGCACAGCACTGGCATGCAGTGTCTGTGCAGATGTCTTATGCAAACAGACTTCTATGTCTGTGGTGATGTGTAGCAGCAGGATGCCTGAGGGGACTGCTGCTGCTAATTAGTGATGAGTCACGGAGGCGAAATGAAAAGGCCATTTCTACCCTTTAATTGTGACAACTTGATATGTGGCAGAGATAGCTAATAACTTAAATAATCCTCCTCAGCTCTGTGGGGAATAAAGATGCATTTGTCTTCTTTTGTTCAGAGAAAAAAAAGACTGAGACAGGTACATGTTCAGTGACTCACCTAACCTCAATGTGGGAGACAAGCATAATTTTAGAAGTAGTGTATTAAAACATGCAATTTTCTAATAAATATGATTTATTAACCAAGATTTATTGTACATATAACTCTAAAGGGAAATCTGCATCACTGAAAATGGCAGCAACTTGTGCTTCTTGCAAGTTTTACAAATAAATTATGCATCTTTAAGTATCTATTCCCAGCACAGTAGTGTATTTCACCCTTCAGGCATTAGCCGCAAGATTTTTTACGTCATTTTCTAACATGGCTACAAGTAATAATAATTTTATCAATCAATCAATCAATCAATCAAACTTTATTTATATAGCGCCTTTCATACATCAAAAATGCAACCCCAAAGTGGCAGTAAAGTAGCGGCAGTAGCTCAGTCCATAGGGACTTGGGTTGGGAACCAGTGGGTCGCCTGTTCAAGTCCCCGCAAACCGCAACAGCAAACAGTGACAATGATTAAAATTCATAGGCCATTGCTGTATTGTTTTTACTGTCAAATCTGATATTGAACATAATGCACGCCTGGCTCTATAAACAGAGCACCTGTGCTTCCATTATGCTTTCCGTGACGTTTGGCCCTTTGGCATCAGTAAAGCTTTTTAGAAATTCAAATAAGGCTTCCAGGTGCATATTAAAATCTGTATCAGTACCAGTTCCTTTAACTGGCGAAGGTTGAGCACAAAAGATGCAACAATGTGGATACATTTTTGTATGACAACAAAAGGATAGACGCCACACAAATGATCCAGAAAGCTTTCAATGAAATGAACATGAGTACATTTTGTCACAAGCATTCCCATATTGTTTTGCTGCCAATATAAAATAATACAGAGAGCAAATCAGGAATAATTCAACAGCCACACATGCCGATTGGATATAGATGAAAAATAAGCACTCTGATAGACTGAGATCTCCTGAATCTGTGAGCCCATCTCACCTGTTTTCATTTGGTCCGCTGATACTCTGGTGCTCAATACTGAGTAGTTGATTATGCACCCTTTGAATTTGAATGTGATGGTTGGCCACACATAAAACTAGAGCACTCAGCTACTAATGCTGCCCACCAGTATCCATTTTCCATCTGTGTGCATGAACCTGAAAAGCAGGCGTCTGCATTCAAAACCTAAATTGAGTCACTATTTTCACTTTACATTATGCTACATTTCAGGCTAACGTTTCAGGAGGGTCGAGGGGTCAAATAATTCAATACAACGCTTGTTTTTCTTTCCATTAAATTAAAATCTGTATCAGTGGCATGAGGCTGTTTAGCTGCACAATATAAGATACTTCTTCTTTTGTTACTGCCCAAACTCAAACCAAAACTAAACCTAAACTTTCATAGTATACACAGTCCGAATGGGTATTTTTAAGACTTGCATGACAGATTCTAAAATTTCAATCAAACTGAGTAAAAGCTCTGCACCCTGTCCTGTTTTTTGCGTCTTCTGACATTAAAAACAGGACAAATGAAACATCCGAAGACCCCAAAGGCAACAAAATGTCAACGTGCCATGACTAAATACGGCCGAGTCATAATCAGCCTGAATACACTCATCTTTTTAAAATTCATATACGAGACGGCCTTCCAGCACTACAGATATAATGTTCTTGCCTATATCAGCACAAGAACAAATGTCATCCATTTTTGTGTGCTAAGACTAATTCCAGATAAGAGCCTCAAATCTGTATGATTTGTCTTAAAAGCAGACTGTCTCAACTGCCAATAATCAAAAACATACAATAACATTTATTCTAAACCATAAACCCTATCAAGATTTACCTAAAGGAATGGACCAGCAGGCATTTACTGCTTATTCAAAACTATTCAAACTGAATTCTCTCATTCGTTGCAATGAGCACTGCCCTTGTTATTTAAAGCCCTGGAGAAAATACCACTACACAATGTCTTAAGATGATTCAGACGCATTTATGTAAATTTTTCCCACTTACTTTATTCTTTTGTGAGAAAAAGGAACAAAAATACAGCAGATATATTACACTGCACTAATTGCAGCAATTTTATATGGAAAAATTACATCTGTGTAAGTGAGCATTGTGTATCGAGGAAAATAGTGCAGTAAAGAAGCTTCAAACTGACATGAAATGAACATGCACACAAACACTACATACAATAGTACCTCTGTGTAAAAAAGATTTGTTGTTGTTCTTCAGTTGGCTGCAGCTCTGCTGTGTCCCCGCTGTTATATCACCGCAGTTTCCTGTAGCTGCTTCCATGTCTCTGTTATGGCTTTGTTCCTTTCACCCATAGTCAGCACTCTTCACATGAAAACACAGGAAACACATGACAAGACATTCAACTATGAACTGTTTGTGCTTTGTTCTTCAGATTACAGCTACATGAGGACACAAAGACTGCTACCTTTGCTGGAGGTAGAGATTGCAGGATTCCTCTAGAGTGACACAGCTCTGTGTGTTTTGTTCTCGTGGAGAGTCTGGAAGTGGAAGGATATACTGCTTGATGATGCCAGGCTCTCCAAATCGGAAGATGAAAAGCTTACTTTGGTTTCCATCTGTAGAAGACGCACTGCGGCTGGGGTCCAGGTCACCTGCATAAAACAAACACCTTTACTGAGAGTATTTAAATTTGATATAACCTTGTTTCTGCAGCTTTTTTGGTTACTCCTCTGAAATGTCACCAGTCATCAATATTCATCACCTTCATCAATATTTTCTTTTGCTATGGTGTAATACAAAACAAAACAAAAATGTGGCTTTGGGTTTACCTTGAATGAACAGAGTCTGCTGTCTGGAGTTCAGAGCATAAACAGGATTGCACGGAGTGGCAGTCACATGAGTTGTGGGAGGAATCAAGAAGCACACAGTGGTTTTGTTGATGACATCCTGGAGCAACACTTTCCCATTTCTTTGCACCACAAGCGACTAGTTTAGGCAAGAAAAATAAGACAGTAGGACCCAAAGAGTCAGAAATTACAACACTGTAAGTTCTATAGAAATCCCTTTTGTATTATAAGCTTGAAACTTTTTATTAGCAACTTCAGTGTTTCTACCAAACTCTGCAGGAATGGCACTGGTGCAGTGGCAGTTGGAAGGTCCCCTCTGTCTTTAGGCCTGCAGAGATATAGATAATAATGTGTGGATTCCATGATTGCACCGTATGAAGCACACATTGAATAAGGAAACATATAAAACTCTGGTAACCTTCCAGTGAGCTGTTCTGTGCAGGCTTGTGCCCCTCCTCCTGTGGTGACTGTATGAATTGCTCCACTTTTATACAACACCAAAAGATGGACTTTTGCTGGGGTAAAAGTCTGGATATCATCAGCAGTCCGAGGCCAGGAATCCACAAACTGCATCCTGAAGAAAGCGCTGTCTGTTGCTGCTGTCACACAGACAACAGACAGAGGAGACCCTGAGGGACAGAGAAGAAAAATTAGATCCCAACGTGCCATAGCCTTGTTTGCGTAACAAACATCTAAAAAGCAAAAATGCGGTTAGCTTGTGAGTGTGTTGTATCTGTCCACAAACTGATTCGGCATTATTGCTTTTCAGTGAAGCTTCTTTCAGGTAAATCCTAAATATATATATCACAACTCACTAAGACAAAACAAACTAGAATTCACTGAAACTAGATACTACACTAAAGACTAAAGACTACGATGTTTGCAGATAAAACTCAAAATTGTGTAAAAGTGGCTTTTTCTACCACGTAACCATCAAGAGTTTTCAATAAGATAGATTTAATAAACTGTACTGCCGTAGCTAAACTAAACCAGGGTCAGATTTGATCACATTTCAGAGATACTTCACTAAGAGCTGCTTACCAGATAGCCTGTCCCACACACATACCAGAGCATTATTGAGCCCAAGAGCTATGTAACGGGTGCATGTACTAACAGCAGAGCAGAGGATTTCCTTTGAATTTGGCCATAATACATCTGGCATGGGATCCACATCTGTTTCACAAAGAGAAGGATCAAAAACAGAAACATGTGCCCAGTGCAAACTCGAGTATAAAGAAAGAAGCACAGCAGACGTGAGCTGTTAACAACAGGCAACATATTTTAAAGATGTGAGCACCCAGCAGATTCATCTCTGAACAAATAAGTATCTCACCTTGTTTGTTCTTTGGAGCTTTTTGCAGAAAATACTGAAGAAGATTGTGGCTGCCACTCCACCACACACACACAGCAACAGGCAATCCTGCTGAGTAAAGGTCAGAGATTAAAGAAGACATTAATAGGGGCATGCTCTGCCACTATAGGCTTGAAAATGCCTTAATAAGGGATTGAATAATTATGAGGGATGTAATCCATAAGAAATAATTATCTTGGCCATACCATTTTCCCCACTTTGCTACTCATGTAAGACTATTCATTAACACACCTTTGATCCTTTATCCTGAAAACTGACAGATGTTTTTAGTGGAAGTGCTCTGAAACACTGGCCAATCATAAAAGATCACACATTCAACAAAGCCCCCATCCCCCTCCATTACTAACCTGGCTGAGACTTTGCTATAGTGTCGCCAGGAAACTGACCACAAGGCAGAAGAAAGTGCTGGGTGCAACGTCTGAAAGATTTCACGTAATTAATGTGAGACAGGAAGAGGGCTGAGCATTTACATTCAAGGCTTTATATCACTAGCGGCACAATTTTGGTGTCAGAAGTGGGGATGGAGTGGGAGAGGTCTCAACACGACCAAATTAAAAAAAAATAAAAAAAACTTCAAAGGTTAAAAAATATTACATGCAAAGACTTCAGTTAAAGACCCTGTATGTATTTTATGTATTAAATTTACAAAAGAGCTATCATCATAGAAGCTCAGCTGTCAAATTCTGCTTATGTTTGTGTAAACTGTACCTCGGGCTTTCATTTGTTTCCTTTGTTTTTCCTGCGTCTGTATCAAAAGACTGTTTCTTCTGTTGACAGCTGCTGCTGGTTTCTATGTCCAGAGCCAAACAGTGTGTAAAAAAGTCTGTGATCTGCAAAGCCTCGAGGGAACCATCCAATACTGTCCCTGAAAAACAGCAGTTACACAAACAGTTAACAGTTTGAACACTTCAGTCATTTAAAGAGATACAGTGTATGATCACTAACACACACACACACACACACACACACACACACACACACACACACACCTCTGCATGTACACCATCACCTACATTTACACACAGCAACAAATTATAAATATATAATAAATAGAAAAGTTATACCATAGTTGTTGTGATACATGCTTGCAGTAGATAAAAATATACCTGCTGGAACTTTGGGTGGCTTGATTTTACAGACAAGTGCAACTGGTGACCATTCCACACCCACATCTTCAGATGAGTCTTGATCCTGACGATAATAACCATATAAATTACATTTTTTTCCCCTAAAAATAAAACTACTGAAGTTGTAATTCAATAACATATAGTAGTATCTGAGTAGTTGAACTGACATTTAAAGCTAGGAATGCACAAAAGCCAGTGGGTACACAGCCTGCCAATCAAATTTCAGTACAATACCTGCTGATGTGATCGTGCCGTCTCTAACTCTTTCAGCCATGCTTCTGAGGGGAAGTGATAGACCTCGAGACAAGTGGCACTGTTACCTGACAAAGATGTGACGTGACTCAGTATTTGAATGTCAAGTTTTCAAACTCCTACAATAAAAACAGCTCAAACAGAAAGTTCTTACTTACAGCTGATTGATGCAGCTCCATACTCTCCCCCTTCAGACAGTTCAAATGCCAAGCAAATGCTCCTTTTGTTGACATCTTTCTGATATTGAAAGGAGTTTTTGAATCTGTTATTTTTTATTTTGTCTATTCCTAAAAGGATTTACATCAATTAAACTGTTTTTAAAGCTTCCCAGTAAACTGTAAATTTAAAGGTATACTTCAAGGCAGGATTGTCGGTTACTGCTTGTAAACCGATCGCCAGGGAAATAAAAGTAAAAGTAAAAGCCAACCACAGACAACCACACTCTCATTTGGCACTTCACCTCACTATATTTGCAGTATTTTTGGTGCCATGTGTCTTGCATGCCTGCTGCTTATGGTCTGGTACCTGGTTGCTACCTTTTAATAAAGCCCAGACCTCACCTGAGCACTGTGGGGACACACACCCACAAATGTCCCCAACACAGAAAATAAATAAGTACAGGTAGAGGGCAGAGTCTCTGCAGAAAATACACCATCACACATTTCTAGTGGGCTGTAAGTGATACTAAGATGGTTATACTCTGTGTACTTGAAACTCAACATAAAATTGCTCTATCATGGAAATCCATTAACAGATCATGCAAGCAGAGTTGGATTAGATGGACTGTTGCAATGTCTGGTTATTAGGGATGCATGATAACTATTGGGCCGATAACAGGAAATTATTACGTCATTCCGATAAATCCGATATCATGACGAATAGCCCCGATAACATATATAATTTTGTCAGCACGGCACTGCCCTGCTCCCACTATGAGACCTGAATGGCCTGCAGTGAATGCTGCCTTCAAGTGACGTGGGCATAATCAGAAAAATTCTTTCTGACTGGGAAAATTCAAGAATATCCCCTCATGTCGGAAAACAACTCGTTAACTCGGTCATAATTTCACACAGACGCGCACACGCTCTCTCTATCACACACACACACACACACACACAGACGCGCACACTCTCTCTCACACTAGTGTTGCACGGTATACTGGTACCAACGGTAGACCACGGCACTAAAACTCCACAGTACATATGATACCATAATGTTGGAGTACCGTATAGTACTACGGTACCTCACGGTACCACTACTGTGGGATAAGTTCAAAGTCCAGTCGCAAGAGGGTGAGTGTCCAATAACGGCGAACGGGGGTCACAGACACAGACAAGAATATGTATTCCTGTCAAATACAGATGCCATAGTGCTCCGCAGAGCAAGATAACGGCTTACCGGCGACGGAGAAGCCTGGCTCCAGGTCCAATAATGTCCTCTTGTTGGCGTCATGACTGCCCAGAAGTACCTGAACAGCCAAGCCATGGCGGCACACAGGTATGTGGTGTGTCAGAGGAGAGAAACGAGCCGTTCACATTTCTCTTTGTGGCAGGTAACGGCCCACAAACCTCACCGCACTTTAGGGACTGTTTACTTATGAAGGGACTGTTCTTTACTTGTCAGGGGAGGAGGGAGGCTGGTTGATTTTTATTTTATTTATTTATTTTATTTTGATCCCCCCTATGTTAATCACTTATTCATGCTGTTTTTGAAGTATGAATAAGTCAATAAGTAATTTATTCCATTGAAATATCATTGATTTATTATAGTAAAGTTATTTATCTTTTTATAAATGACAAAAGGCATATCTGCCTCATTTTTGCTGTGGTTTCGTGATACTACTCAGAACCGTGATACTTTCACTGGTATTGTACCGTGGGTCCCAATTTTGGTACCGTGACAACACTATCTCTCACACACACACACAGACGCGCGCTCTCTCTCTCTCTTCTAATATGAGATAAAAGAACAACTGAACCTCATTTACCTTAGTGAAAATGTATTCATTTGAATGGAACCATAAGCCAAAATTCTTTAAACTTATTTTTTACTATGGAATGCACTTTTTCAGTTTGTTTACATAGACAAATCTAACTTTTTCAGTGCAATCATTTTCTATATATATTTATTTTTTTGAACTTCAGTAATGAACTTTTTCAGTTTGTAATCCCGATGCATGTATTTGCATCAGTTCAAGGGGCCTTTATTTTTATATCAGTAAGTAATGCACCTTATTTAAACTGATGTTCATTTGAGATATCAAATAGTTTTTTTGTTTGATATCTTTTCGAAAATGTTTGAGATGCTTGCCAATAGTTTTTCATTGGAAAAAATAAATATCTCTTCATTTAAAGGGTCAGAACTGTTTTGGTTTTGTTCATATTATTGATGTCATGATCTTAGGTACATATATATATACAGTACAGGCCAAAAGTTTGGACACACCTTCTCATTCAATGCGTTTTCTTTATTTTCATGACTATTTACATTGTAGATTCTCACTGAAGGCATCAAAACTATGAATGAACACATGTGGAGTTATGTACTTAACAAAAAAAGGTGAAAAAACTGAAAACATGTTTTATATTCTAGTTTCTTCAAAATAGCCACCCTTTGCTCTGATTACTGCTTTGCACACTCTTGGCATTCTCTCTATGAGCTTCAAGAGGTAGTCACCTGAAATGGTTTCCACTTCACAGGTGTGCCTTATCAGGGTTAATTAGTGGAATTTCTTGCTTTATCAATGGGGTTGGGACCATCAGTTGTGTTGTGCAGAAGTCAGGTTAATACACAGCCGACAGCCCTATTGGACAACTGTTAAAATTCATATTATGGCACCAATCAGCTAACTAAAGAAAAATGAGTGGCCATCATTACTTTAAGAAATGAAGGTCAGTCAGTCCGGAAAATTGCAAAAACTTTAAATGTGTCCCCAAGTGGAGTCGCAAAAACCATCAAGCGCTACAACGAAACTGGCACACATGAGGACCGACCCAGGAAAGGAAGACCAAGAGTCACCTCTGCTTCTGAGGATAAGTTCATCCGAGTCACCAGCCTCAGAAATTGCAAGTTAACAGCAGCTCAGATCAGAGACCAGATGAATGCCACACAGAGTTCTAGCAGCAGACCCATCTCTAGAACAACTGTTAAGAGGAGACTGCGCGAATCAGGCCTTCATGGTCGAATAGCTGCTAGGAAACCACTGCTAAGGAGAGGCAACAAGCAGAAGAGATTTGTTTGGGCCAAGAAACACAAGGAATGGACATTAGACCAGTGGAAATCTGTGCTTTGGTCTGATGAGTCCAAATTTGAGATCTTTGGTTCCAACCGCCGTGTCTTTGTGAGACGCAGAAAAGGTGAACGGATGGATTCCACATGCCTGGTTCCCACTGTGAAGCATGGAGGAGGAGGTGTGATGGTGTGGGGGTGTTTTGCTGGTGACACTGTTGGGGATTTATTCAAAATTGAAGGCACACTGAACCAGCATGGCTACCACAGCATCCTGCAGCGACATGCCATCCCATCCGGTTTGCGTTTAGTTGGACGATCATTTATTTTTCAACAGGACAATGACCCCAAACACACCTCCAGGCTGTGTAAGGGCTATTTGACCAAGAAGGAGACTGATGGAGTGCTGCGGCAGATGACCTGGCCTCCACAGTCACCGGATCTGAACCCAATCGAGGTGGTTTGGGGTGAGCTGGACCGCAGAGTGAAGGCAAAGGGGCCAACAAGTGCTAAACACCTCTGGGAACTCCTTCAAGACTGTTGGAAAACCATTTCAGGTGACTACCTCTTGAAGCTCATGGAGAGAATGCCAAGAGTGTGCAAAGCAGTAATCAGAGCAAAGGGTGGCTATTTTGAAGAAACTAGAATATAAAACATGTTTTCAGTTATTTCACCTTTTTTTGTTAAGTACATAACTCCACATGTGTTCATTCATAGTTTTGATGCCTTCAGTGAGAATCTACAATGTAAATAGTCATGAAAATAAAGAAAACACATTGAATGAGAAGGTGTGTCCAAACTTTTGGCCTGTACTGTATATGTGTGTGTGTTATCGGTTATTGGTATCTGTTTAAAAGAAAAGTTATCGTGCATCCATACTGGTTATGAAGAAATCTATATATGTAGTAAAAGGGAAATACACCAGTTTTGATAAGACTTGGGGTTCATTCATGAAATTTCTGGAGAGGGAAGATTTTGCTAAACCCTTGTAGTGAAGTACTGTTAATATAAATTTCTATTTGACTTTTAAAGGGCTTTGTTGTCACAGTTATGACTTTTATTTTCATTATATTCAAAGTGCCTTTATGTGTTTTGTTTAGGTGTGCCTTTTTTGTCTCCTTTTTATGTTTAATATGAAGTATTTTCTGTGGTGAAAGACAAAATTAAGATTTCTCCTGTATTTTTTTCTTCTACAAATACATAAAAATGGAAGTGGATAAACAAAATATCACAGCAAATACATATGTAAATAACACTGACAATACGTACCATGATGTTTATAACACTGAGGAGGTAAATACTTTGACAGTGATATGCAAAGACTCTGGCAACACCTGCAGTGAAAGATAAAAGCAGCTGATGTCAGTATTACGATACATTCTGAACTCTTTCTGAAAACTTCTTGGGGGTCTCCAGTTTTAACCTTTCGTTCCTCTGAATCACAGGTGTTATTGTCTCCGTTCAGTGCAGTAATAATTCATGACTTCAGAATCAAGCTAGAGCATTTCAAGTGTACAAATAAATGTCAATCTATATCATATTTTATTTGTGAAAATCCGACTATCTACATGCTTTATGCAGGAGAGGTATGAGAGAGGCGTGCTACCCACCCATATCATCAACAGTGCCGAGCAGATAGGCTGTCTCAGCCATTCTGGTCATTTGAATAGATGTAATTTCCAGTGTGTCCTGCAGCCACTCTGCAGCGCAGATCAGAGAAGATGCACACCACACAGACAAGCCGCGGGAGTGACCTAGGCTGAGGTACCTGTCATCATCTGAACACGTCAGGCAGTTGGTGCTCTCTGGAAGCTGACAGATAAGTCATGAAAAATGAGCATTGACATTTCTTTTGGAAAACATGAATCTTTTTATTCAATAACCTATTTACTTTCTTTACTAGAATAAAAAGCAAGGGCTTTGTTTGCCCATAGAGCCCTCTGGACATATTTGATATTGGGCTAGAGGTCAATATAATACACAGTTTATGCAGGGTTTTGACCGATGATTTGTCAAGTATGTGAAGCTTAACCCAGAAGCCAGAAACAACCTAATAAATTTAAACTCCACATCTGTACCTGTGTTTCACCGGATAGTTCCAAAGTAGGTGTTTTCTGTCTGGATGCCTCTGTTTGGCAAGCTGCAGCCATATCTGAGTCTGGGGTACTTTCTTATGTGCACTTGGATAGCCTATTAATTATATATATAAAAAAAATTATACAAAGTATTTTGTTCTCTGTAATTTTTTTTTTTCATTTTTGTTTTTGTCATGCTGATGGAAAAAAGTAACAACATTTTACATTGTAAAAATAGCCCATCACAATTAAATGCCCAGCATATATACTATGGACAGAAGTAGCTATTACCATCAAAACACTTTTTAAAGTATCAAATTAAAATGCTCATATACTTACACTCACTAGTGACTTTATTAGATACACCTGTTAAACTGCTCGTTAACAGAAATAGCGAATCAACCAATCATGCAGCAGCAAGTCAATGTATTTAGGCATGTAGACAGTAGACACAGTCAAGACAACCTGCTGAACCTGCTTATAGAGGATGGTCTGAAAAAGACAAAGTGAGCAGCAGTTCTCTGGGTGAAAATGGATTGTTGAAAATGGCCAGACTGGTTAAAAATGATAGAAAGGCAACAGTAACTCAAATAACCACTTGTTACAACTGAGCAGATGGGCTACAGCAGCACAAGACCACACCACACCAGGTGCCACTCCTGTCAGCTAACAACAGGAAACTGAGGCTACAGTTCACACAGGCTCACCAAGACTGGACAATAGAAAATTGGTAAAATGTTGCCTGGTCTGACGAGTCTTGAATTCTGCTGCAACATTCAGATGATAGGGTCAGGATTTGGTGTAAACAACATGAAAGCATGGATCCATCCTGCCTTGTATCAGCGGTTCAGGCTGCTGGCGGTGTAATGGTGTGGGGGATATTTTCTTGGCACACTTTGGGTCCCTTATTACCAACTGATCATGGTTTAAACACCACAGCCTATCTGAGTATTGTTGCTGACCGTGTCCATCCCTTTATGACCACAGTGTGCCCATCTTCTGATGGCTACTTCCAGCAGGATAACACACCATGTCACAAAGCTCAAATGATCTCAAACTGGTTTCTTGAACATGACAATAAGTTCACTGTACTCCAATGGCCTCCACAGTCACCAGATCTCAATCCAATAGAGCACCTTTGGGATGTGGTGGAAGGGGAGATTCACATCATGGATGTGCAGCTGACAAATCTGCAGCAACTGTGTGATGCTATCATGTCAATATGGACCAAAATCTCTGAGGAATGTTTCCAGCACCTTGTTGAATCTATGCCACAAAGAATTAAGATAATTCTGAAGGCAAAAGGTGTTCAAACCTGGTACTGGTAAGGTGTCCTAATAAAGTGGCCAGTGAGTGTATTGAATTATTACTGATACATTAATATGTAGGAGCTGGTATTGTAGTGTTATTTCTGAGCTCATTCTATATGATACGATTGATATGCTACTGGATAGTTTAATCTGGAAAATGCATCATATTTTCTAAGATGATCATATATTTTATAAAGAGACAATCTGCATAGTAGTTGTTACCTGAATGTAGTGGGAGAAAGGTGCAACAGTTGTCTCTGAAATGTAGTTTAAGTATAAGTAACATGAAACAGAATTAACTTTACCTAGGTAACTCCTGTTAAAACTGTACAGAACTTTACAAAGAGTACAGCAGGCCTGTCTCTACTTGACCAAAAGTACTCAGTTACACAGCACTATTGTAAATACAGCTCGCATACAAAAAAACTACACAGTCATACTTATACTACACTCACACTTACCCTACACTAATGTAGGGTAACACAGACACAAGTAATTAATCCATGTCGGTATATAACTATAAATAACGTTACATGTAGGCTAATATCTGGGTCTCAGGAGGAGACATGTTAGCTATTAGCTAAAACAGCATGTTAGCTAATCTAGCGCTAACACTGCAGAGGTGCTAACACAAGATAAAGTTACAGCTAGTGCTAATTAGCTACTACACCCACAGTGAACAAGGAGAACTCACAATGACCTTTTGTTAGCTGTGAATTGAAAAATATCTCACCTCGAAATGTCATTTAATTTCACAGCAGCTGTCTTATCTTCATTTGTCCTATGAAGCAGCCTTAGACCCAAGGGTGCTAAGTGTATCACGGTCGTCATGACAACTGTTGCTAAGTCCCCTCTGCGGAGCACTCAGTGATGTTGCATTCGCGTGTCCCTCGGAGGTCACGTTTCTCCATCTGAGAAGTGTTTAATCTGACTTCGGTGCGTTCATGAGCTTTAAATTGTAATGTTGATATAAGATGTGTTGTCTTTTGTTGCTCAGAGCGTGCATCGTCCCAGTTAAACTCCATGATGTTTTCCAAGTATGCTATTACACTCTGAAGCTTTATATTACAAAATTATGTTGTCCCAGACATGTACAGTGTAGAGTCTATAATGTAATTTTGAACATCCAGAATACATTCTGACTAGCAAAAATGCCATTGTGGGTTTCCACAGTTGTTATTATGACTATAGTAAAAATGCAATAATAGATATCTACAATTAGAGTAATGACTAGGAACAATGCAACTACAGATATATATGTTTGTATTAGTCAGAACAGCAATTAGGCCCTCAGATATCTACAATGACACTCTCACTCATAGAAAATGTATTTCAGAATATCTAAAACTGTATTTCTTCTAATAAAAATTCAATTCAAGATATCTTTAAATCCTTAAAAAGTAGAAGTGGCCAACTTAACATTTGGTAACTAGAGTGAATAGGCATTGCAGATATCTGTAATTAAATTCTTCCTGGTCAATATGACTTTTTGCTATTCATGTGTCTTGGGCCTTTAAATTCAGATATCCACAACACCCACAATTAACAGTAATAGCTGCAGTAAAATTCTTAATAGGAAAAACTTCAATTTCCAATATCCTCAATCTGATTGCTGGGCTACTAGTCCTTATTTTCATTTCAGATGTTCAGGATAAAAAATTGCATTGTTCCTAGTCATAATTCAAATTGTAGGTATCTGAAATTGAATATTTACTAGTCTTAATACCAACTGTGGATATCCATTATGACATCTTTCACCAGTCAGAATATATTTTGGATATTCAAAATTACATTATGGATATCTGGAATGGTTTTTCATGTTAGATATCTGAAATAAAAATAGTATCAGTAACAACTGGACTGTAGGCATCTGAAGTAGGTGACTCTCCTAGTTCGAATTCTACGACAAACACCCAGAATATTTATTCTAGATATCTGCAAAGACATTGTGGATATCTAAAATGGAAAGCCCAGTCTAGCTATTAAATGTTAACTGTGCAAGTCTTGTTTATGCCACACTTCTTCTGTAAAGGGACAGGAAGGTGGAAAAGGATCAGTGCTCAACAGGATTCTGTGCTTAACACTTCAGATAGTAAAAGCAGAGAACAGGTTACAGGAGGTGACATGTTTATGGTTGGAGTTGTTAACATTACATCTTCATGTTCAGATGTTGCCACTCTGTTGTCGGAATAAAAAAACACTCATTAAATGTTTCAGGATTAACACGGCTTTGTGTGTTTCCATTTGGTAGTAATGCACTTCTAAATGCCAAACAAAATAAATGCTCACTTTCTACTAAGTCGACATGCCTGTAGTTCTAAAAATGAATATGTTTCAATACAGAATCAACATTTCTCACTCATATAAGCACAAGCTTGTAACTCATCTGGAGTTATAAATGTTAATATGTAATTAATGATTAGTGATTAAGTTTTATATAACAAACAATAACTTTGCACTTATACTGGATTCTGGTCCAGATGTTTTGCAACACTTTTCCAAAGGTAAGTAGACAAACTGCTGAAAAAAACTGTTTATGTAATTCCGAAGTAAATACAAACTGTCCATTAGAGTCGTTTACTGGTGAATTACAGATAAAAATACAAAGCAAATAATGCCATGCTGGTGAAGGATAACAAAAGTTTTTCTTATTAATGGTATGTAACAGCACAATCAGGTATAAGTAAATAATCTACAAATCTTTTATAAAACAACTTATGAGCCCTCACTACAGGGTGCATTATCAAACGTGGTAGTGTAACAACAGCACCTGTCAGCTTATCTCTGTTTAAGTCTGCCTTTGATTAATCTGGATGTTTTTGAGCCCACACAAGTTTTCTTAAACTATCTCAGAGGAACACTGGTTTTACTCAGACCTTTGTCCTGTGGTGCAAATACAACGTGCTGACAGGTCAGCCAACGCCAGACTGCAGAGTAAGTAGCAGTTAACTGCCTATCATATTCGTCGCCAACATCCAATTGAGCCTGGTGTTCAAGAGAGGGAAATACAGTGCTCACGTGAGACCGGCAGTAGTAATATATCATAGAAATATTACAAGGCAATACATACATACATATTATCTGTATTGTATAGTATTCAACAACCCAAAAATGCTGGTTGTAAATAGTCTGTGTTTGGGAATGATGCATCCTGTTGTACCCACATCCAGATACATGGACGTCCTTGTATGCTTCATATTTCTTCTCTCTGCTCAATTTACAGTATCGCACTTCACGCCTTCCTCTTGTGCTCTTTGTTCAACTGGTGGTTCAGCAGGTGTAGCAGTCATCACTACAACAGCCTAAGGAGAAGAGAAAGAAGACAACCCCAGTGCTTAACTTAGCTGGTCCTTGCTTATGTTGCAACTTTGTTTAAGCTTATGAAATATTGTGAGACACTCTCTTAGTCTGTAGTGTGTATGAAAGAGGTCAAGTTTTTTTTTTACCCTATTTGTTGAAGAACGCAGGGCAGCCCCAGCCAGACACGACATTACAAGGACAATGTGTCCAGCTGCAACTGCGTAGACCAGAATGATGTGTTCTAATGTTATTCCCATGACCTGGAGAAACACATAAACAAATATACAAGACCATGTCTCCGCCAAAGATGGTTTGATAAAAACGGTTAACTTTAAATAAAACAGGCATTGGAAAATTCATATATATTTTGAGATGTGATGCCAAACCTGGATGCCAATTAGGGTAGGTTTTAGCAAGTGAAGAAAATAACTGCAGCAAAAATAATAATCACCTGATATGATTCCTGAGGTAAATCAGCCGCTGTCACATTGTCCATAACAAGTTCAACGTCACCGAAGAAGTGGTGGCCAATAATGCTGGGCACTATGTACATGAGAGTCAAGCATGTCACCAGTACGGTCACAATGCTCAGAGCCAACGATATGGTCACCTGCATGTGGACACCAACAGAGAGAGATGAAGGAGAGGCAGACAGTGACTTACAAATGTCGGTAAAAGTTCATACGGTATATGGACAACTTGGAGAGCCCTGCAAACAGCCATCATGATTAATCAGTCAGTAAAAAGAAAGAAAAAACATGTCAGACATAAATTATTATTCCCAGCATGATTTGTATATGATCTTAAAACATTTCTAGAGGGCATCTTAATAAAATGTTTTTAGTACTGCTTCAAAATATGACAATATAACTTACGGTTTTCTTGGTTGTGTTGTGCTCTGTCAGAATATACAGAATCCCACATGCGATCAACTACGAGAAGGAGGAAATAACAGTTTTATTATGTATCCCTTCAATGTACCAGGGTGCTGCATTAGCTTGTAGTTAGTGAAAAGGATAGAAAAACACAGCCTAGTGTTGGGGCTCAACTACTAAAGTGACTTTCTATCCCTCAATCAAATCCTGTACACATTTGAATTATCCTTGGTTCCTTGATTGAATCCACAAGCCGCTGATAAATAACTCTCTTGTTGTGTTACCAACCATTGCTCCCAGCACGAGTTCAGATTGCATGGCTGTCGATACAAACTGAAAATAGTCATCTGGCCTGATTGCGATGGTAACAATCAAGAGGGACGAACCCAAGACCAGCACGACGATCTAAGAGAAAATAAGTACATGATAAATAGATATTTGAGCACTGGTGTGCGTGTGTGTGTGTGTGTAGGAGTGTGTGTGTGTCTTACACCAGTAATCTTGGGTTGCCCCTTCATGAAGCGGTGTAAAGGTTTGCTGCCCCCCAGCGTGGTGCCTTGAAGACCTGCATTATTTTCGCCTATTTCACTTGCACAGTACAGCTCAGCAGACATCTTGTGGACAGAAATAGGTTAAAACTGTTACACTGGAGGGAGTTAAGTCCAATTAATGTATTGATTCTGAGTCTGCCGATCAGTCCTGTTTCATATTGAATCCTGGTTTTGATTCTTGTCACATTGTTTGAGTATCAGGAATCCATAAGCAGAACTGAAAAGGCATGTTTCTTGGCAAATTGACAGATTCTGTTTTTATTTCTCATTTGGACCTGCAAAACTAGCTCTCAATCCTAAATCAATATGGCTAAACTAAGTTTACATGTCATAAATACATCAGCATGTTTAGTTTAAAATCAGTTTTCATGTCTTTATGCTTAAAAAGTCCACAAAAAAGCCAAAGCCAATGCATTTGTGCAATATATAGCCTACACAACAGTGTCAACATCACAAAAGTACTCACACATGTTATTAATTTAAAAAAAATGACTGCAGCTGAAGTGAAGCTCTGACAGCAGGCCAATGATTGAGACATACTCATGAGATATGTTGTCATTTAATAGACTTCTTCCACAGCAGACACTTTTAATTGTCAAAGCAGGAAGAGCACAGGGGAAGCTGATAACATTAATGATGGCTTGGTTCCATTTAGTGTCCCAGTGAGTTGTTCCAGCGAACCAGCATGAACAATGTCAGCGCCTCCCCGAAGTGGAATGCAGCCACCACTGATGTTATTAAACACAGCTGTGCTTTCCCTACCATGGCATGTCAAAATGTCTGCCGTGTAAAAGGGTCTCTGTTAACAAAATATCCGTCATTTCTAACTTAAAAAACAAAACTCAGAAATAACAAGTTGTTGAAATATAACAGCAGCAGATACCCATTTATCTTACAACAAGGACAAAATACCGCAGAAATGTTGTAAGGTTGACGTTACAGATGTAGAAAGTGCTAAACAAGCTAAAGTTAACGTTGTCTAGGCTGGAAAATGTTTTAGATATGTTTTAGATATCTTCAGCCTGTCGGTTAAACCCTGATATTTACAGCAAAACTGACAAGATACTAGGCTACACTTAAATCTCGGAGGATAAACATCCAGTGTGTCCTCCACTCTGCATAGACTGAAAAGTTTTAGTGTTAAGTGATACGACATGGCTATGAACCGACTAATTAATGAAGGCTTACGTGTTAAAGAGTTTTATGTAAGAGTGAAATCCCAAACAAAGCTATTATAAATGTTACAGAACAAGATGAGAGTCAGATACCTTGTGTCGTCTTGTCTGTGGTCAGTGCTGTGGGTCTGTGTGTGCTCCTGTAAACGCTCACATCAGGCTCATATCTGGAGCAGCCTGATGGGGCATCAGTGGACGATCGGTTCATTTTGAACACACACAGGACTCTGTCATATGAGCTTGAACTGATGTACAACATTTTATTATTGTGATTCTGTCTTTGTTTTCTATTATATCTATTATTCTATATTTTCTATTGTATATTAACTTCCTTTACTGACATGTATTGAGATGGTGGACATAACTGAAGTGATGATAGCTATATAAAAAAACCTTACTGTTTGAAGCTATTTAGCCTGGCAGAGTGATTCACTGCAAATGATTGAAGTGTGTGAAGGTGAAAATTACAAATCTCCAGGTTAACCCTTGGGTAAATCATATTTGCAGGGTTAAGTGCCACCAAGAAGACCATGATACAGTCATGGTTCAGTCCTGAGACTCCAACAATGAAAGAACTGCGGGGTACACCCTGGACAGGTCGCCAGACTATCACAGGGCTGACACATAGAGACAGACAACCATTCACATTCACATTCATACCTACGGACAATGTAGAGTCACCAATTAACCTGCATGTCTTTGGACTGTGGGAGCAAACTGAAGTATCTGGAGAAAACCCACGTTGACATGAGGAGAACATGCAACCTCTGCACAGAAGGGCCCCCTCCTGGGATTGAGCCAGGAACCCTCTTGCTGTGAGGCGATAGTGCTAACCACTACACCACCATGCCGCCCCTCAGCTCACTCCAGCTAAAAAGTTTGTAGTCAATGACTGCGTAGTCCCTTCAGTTTTCTCTAAGCTAAGCTACCAACCCTGTCTCACTCCATAGTCGTGAAAATCCAGAGTTTAGGCAGTGACTTCTGGCATCAGACAGAGACGAAAAAAGCCATCCTTTCACATCGGTTTGACACGCGGCCAGTCATGGATCATGCCGATCGTGCCATTATAGTTTAACAGTGCCCGACAGCATCAGGGCGTAACATTAAAGAACAAGGAAGGGACAAGAACGAAAGCTAAGGCAGCAAAAGTCTGAGTAGGGTGGGACGGAAGGATGTTCACTTCTTTCCCTAAACCTAACCATGTGCTTTTGTTGCTTAAACCCAATCACATGTGTGTGTGTATAAAATGGCCACCCAGTACACCTGAGCCTATGTACTAATTGCACCCATCATGAGGTGGACCCAAACCACCACCCTAATCTGCACTGCCACCCAGTGACAACTTGAAAATAAACAAACAGACAGGCTGAAAATAAGCAAACAAATAATGGCTCCTACACCCAGGGTACCTTGCACGTCGTATTTGGACGTGGAAAGTCCATGACCGATTGTCAATATGTGACGTAGTCGAAGTGAGAATGTATTGATCCTACTGCATTATTATTCAAATGCAGATCAAAATGTGAGTAAACAGATCACTGGATGAAAACTTACGCTTCTCACAGCCAATAGATGCCTTTTTTACTGATGGGTAAACGTGCCATTCTTTGCTGAACTTTCTGATGCTGTTGGTTTTTTTTGGGAGAGCAGTCTCTGTGAATCAGCACTTGTGTCAATCAAAGCTGTCCCCTTACATTTACACACAACCTAAAGTGGCATGTAATGCATCATTAACTATTAATAATACCCAGTGATAGAAAAGAGATCACGAGAAACACCTTTAATTGAAGTGGCCTCCAGCTCGTCTGGTTTCTTATAGAAAGAAAGAACCAGTGACATGAGGAACTCTTGCTTTAACAGTCCAAAATGGTCAACTCCTAAAAGAGAGCCGGACTTTCCGTCACTCATTGGGAGGGGTGAGGAAGGATGAGCTCTGTGTGCCTGTGCATGTGTTCTGGCTTAGCTCCATTCACATGGGGTCACTTTGTAAGTTAAGGTTTCCTGGACCTCCAGATCTGACACAGCTGTGTGCTTTTGTTCTGCTCCACCCATGAAGTAGAATTTTAAAGCAGAGTAAAAATGGCAGAGAGGGGGAAAAAAAGGAGTGTGGGAATTTTTTTTTAGCAAAAAACACAGTTAAGATTTAGTGTTTCCTTTCTTCCCTCATGTCATTTACATACATCTCTTTCCTCCCAGTGGGGAAAGAAGTATTCCCTTACTTAAGCAGTATCACTTACAACATTACAAGTAAAAGTTTTGCATTCAAACTTGCAATAAGTGCAAGTACAAACACATTGGCAACAAAGTCTCACATGTATCCAAAGTAAAAATGCTCATTATGCAGAGTGGCAATCACCTTTGAGTTGACATACTAATAACCATGTACTTACAAAGAACAGGTGAGAAGACAGTGATCATTATGTCCATGTAAATATGCATCTTAGTATTATAGCAGCATGTGTCCTCTGCTTCTTTTCCTCTTACAGAAGTTACACTGGAATCCCCAAAGGCATGTAGACATCAGTTTTGGATTAAAGTTTAATTCCTCATTAGTTTTCTTTTAGGCAGGGTCAATCGCACAAAGAGTAGATAGAGGATCAATCAGTATTCTGGTATTTTCATTTCACTTTTTTTTCAATATGGGACATATCAATATCTGACTATACATATCCTTTGTCAATTCTGACTATAATCTGGTGATTTAAAAGCTGTCAGGCAGTCAAAGCTGTGGAGACACTACAGTCCCATATTTTGATATTTTTTATCTTGTGAACACAAGGTAATGAATGTCAGTGACATCAATTCTTCATTTTCTGCATGGTGTTATTTATTTTTTCACATTATCGATTAAGTCTAATTTGTCATGGTAGGATGATGTCACGGACAAGGGCTTCCGATATCTGTCAAACCCCAGCTTCTTTGGATAGTCTTGCAAGATCAATATGCACAGTCTGAGGCTTCTTTCGGTCATCTTAGAGCCTTCAAAGCCCAGCAGAATCAATAGTGACAAATGGCACAAGATGGTGTTTTTTATGAACTCTCAGTGGTTTTAATAAAAACACTGAAAAGCTCTGAAGCTCATTCATCTTTAGTGGATTATCTTTCAAACAGGAAAGGAGACAGGATCAGCCTAATAGTATTTTGCATGGGTAGGGTACCATTCTGACTGTGTAGCCCTTTTAGAAAGAGTATTGGTTTTATTAATGGTTAGTGAAACTGTGTGTAAACATGGAGGATGGACACCAGTGGCATAAGGTAGTTACGTTGGGCCCCAGTGCATGCTAATGTGCACATATCGTCTCATCACATGATCAGAGACTTGACACTGGGTATCATCAGCATACATATTACCCCGCAATCATCACTGCACATCTGTATAAAAAATACCAAGGAAAATAAGAAATCAAGAAATCTTTAATTTAATTTAGCAATTTTATTTGTTTGATTTGTAGAATTGTTGATTTATAGTTATACAATATTTTGTTATAGATGTTATAGACTATTTTACAAAAAACTAAAAACATGAGGGAAAAGGGTTTGTCTTTTCAAGGGCATACATAGCAAACAACACTATTTAATTTTAAATAAACAATTAAACACAGGCATATTTTCAAGGTGGCCATCACTCATAAGGGCCCATTCTTCACCCAACACATTGTTGGAGGGCCCATTCTCTCTATGGGCCTTCCAGCTCATAGGCCCCAGTGCAGCCGCACTGCCTGCACTGTCTATATTTACATCCCCGACGGACACTGACAACAGATAAATTAATAAATAAATGACTCGGTAAAAAAACTATAAATGTACCAAAAATAATATTATAGTCAAATGTAGGCATTAATTGATAATTGATAAATTGTGACATAATTTACCTTTTTGCAACGTCCCCTATTTATTTACTTTCTTACTTAGTTTTGCTTTTCATATTTTTCATATTTATTTTATTTCAAATTTATCTTTTTTTTAAAAAAAATATTATTCATTAACTTCGCTTTGTATTTTCCCCCTTGTTTATTTCCCCAAAAGTATTGGTGTTTGTATTATTGTCATTTTCCATACGAACAAACTCTGGGTTGCCAGGTTTCTCTTGCCCTTGCCTTATTCATTCTGTTGGGTAATGACTTAAAGCCTGTAAAAATTGTGTTTCAGGGTTTCTCATACTTCATCACATTGTGGTTGTCTTCCTCAGAAACTGGCAATCCATGATTCATGATTTATAGCCTAAGAGTAAATCATTTCTCAGCCTTTACTTAAGTAATTATTTACAGTTTATAAAGCCTTTAAAAATGGTGACTTGTTAGAAAATAGTGCCATTTTGTTTTCAAAGTGAAGTTTTATGTCATAATTTATGTTCTATTGTGTATTTTTGGGGTCTCATGGGCTTGGCTTTCATGTGATGAAATTAATAAATCCACCAATGAATGCAGACAAATATCACAGTCTCGTAGGTTTGCAGACGACTGCAGCTGAGCAACGCTGTAAAGAAAACATGAATGATGATAATGATCAATAAATGATGCAGATTACCTGCACAGAAAACTCAAAGAGCAAGGCTCTTGTAACACCATAAAGTCACTTTGATGTTTTTATTCTTTTGAACTTTGCACAAAAGGAAAGAGAAAGCATACATTTGTATAATGCAGTTCATAATGCATCCTCTCCTCCGACTCCTCTGTGAATAAGACGAGGCCTTCCCTTCAGCAGATATGAACATAAAAACACCTCTTGTGCAGTACACACTGGTGCCTTGTAAATATTCAGCACCTGTCCAAAAAGCAAAACTTGCACAGATAAATAAAATTCATTTAGTGATTTTGTAAGAAATGTTCTGACCTTAAGACCAGTGATTTTCTCATCATACTCAATAACCCACAGATAATTATGGTCTTTAATCAACCATTCGACACCATTCACCTGAAAGTGATTATTGAATTTAACAATGACTTTTTGACATAACAGAAACCACTGTCTTCCAATCAAACTGCTCCATGTGCTCACAGTCAGATGGGATGTCAACAGAAGCATCAGCCGCAGTATAATGATAAATACCTGACCTCATATCTGAACGATGATTATGAAAAATAGAGTACCGGAAAGATAACAAATGCAACTGATGAGTAAGCTACGCCTCCAGAGCCAACCAAACTGTGCATTAAACAACATTTTTAACTACATTATCAAACATTTCATCCAGAAAGTAATATTTCATATGTGTGTAAAAACCACCATTGGCATTCGTATGAACAGTGAAACAGCTAAGACATGTTTAAATGTAACAGCTAGCAGTAACATAAGGCAGACAACAGATGTGTGTGGATCATAACTCCTGTCTGATATTGGCAGTTTGAAGATTTTTGTTCTATAAAAGTGTAATCTTAAGGCTTCTACGTCAGTGACTGTGCGGTAACATTCAGTACAAAAACTGTAACCACGGAGAACAATTACAATCTGAATGGACATTTGATTAGCCTGCCGCCCCCTTTAATCAGACTGGGTTTAGTGCAAAAAAACTGAATAGGCTCTGATTATTCACTGGGAACTGAAGGATATAAAAGCTTCCAGGCTAGCGCTTAAAATAGTACCACAACTGGTTACGAAATAGCAAACGTGCACTTTTTAAAAAATCTAATATGGCTCCATATTTCCCTGAAGACCAAATATCTGGGGACGACTCTGAAATCCTTCACTGTACACTACAAATTTCCAAATTTAGCATTGTCCCCCATTTTGTAGTGCTGTCTTGAGTTCGTAAATAATCCAACAAGCATGACTTTCTTCTTCATACGTGAACAATTTGAGACACAGCTCAAGTGTTGGTTGACGTGGCCGCTAACCTCCAGGTTTCAGCATAAATATCTGGAGGACTTCGGGGCAACCCATTCATTCTCCATCGGGTCAGACGGAGACGTAACATTATGCTATGCTAACCTTTGATCTGCTCACAACCTCTCCTAGCTACTTGGAATAAACAAACACTTTGATCTAACAAAACCTGACGCTTCGAGCCAAGGAGACCAACAACACAGGACGCAGGAAGGAGTCTCGAAATAAATACATCAGTAGTTCAAAGGAAGAAAACAGAGAGACAGAGACACTTCTTCCCAGTGAGTTAGAATACTTTAAACTAGACTTTGTGCCTGATTCATAATGTCATTAATGGCTCTGGGGAGGAAAATGGTCCTTCCTCACCAGATTATTGCAACAGCTATCAAGGCCAAGCATTTTGGTCCCTTTCCCAGTGACTCAAAAGCAAAGTGGCGTGGTTAATAAATACTTCAAACACAAGTGCATTTGGGAGAAAACATATACCTCAATCTTAACATGTTGATCCATTTCAATATTCCCCAGTTTCTCTCATTGGAATCAGCTGCTTTCAAAATGTTGGCAAGTGTTTTAGGAATCTGAATTTAGTGTGGACCACATGCTCCACTCATGAAACAAGCTATCAGATGAATCCAGGTCAACAGTACGACCCCTTACCAACTGTCTTACAAACACATCTTCATTTTAATACATGACTTTATATATAATTGAGTCATTTTTACCAAGGCATGAGATTATTTCACTTGTTTCCACTTTTTAAAATCATGTTTCAATATCTCACAGCGACTGCTTTAAACTAGTCTTACGCAAAGAGAAATGCCTGAATCATTAAAGGAAACTGCACTGGGAACAAGTGGAATCATCTCACACCATTTACATAATAAGACATGAAGGCTGAATCTGAGATAAAATGACTTTAAATATTTCAGTTTTTTTGCACTGGGCTACTTCGATCATGTATCAAGAGGCCACTTTGATATGGAATTGAAAAGTACACTGCATATTGAAATCTTTAAATTCATAAAAAAATAAATTGGAAACCTGCCTGGAGCGATGTCTGACTCCAGTGTCAAAAACAAAGAGAATAAGTTAAAGTCATATTTGCTACCTTTTACATATTCCCATCAAAATGACTCACGCTGACACTGGTTTTAACAAGGCTGGCAAAAACTATTGGTCTGTCATGGCAACTTGATGTGCACAGACGCTTTCCAAGATTTTTTTTTTGCCTCTTCCTTGGATTTTTCACATTAACAAGATATCTCATAAGAAATAAAATCTTCAAAAACAAATAGACTTACAAACACCAGAGTGAAATCTGCTACTGATTTATATTATTGGTGCTTGCAGCATCATCTGTGGTCCCAGCAGAGGCAGTCCCCGTTGTATGCAGTGTCATCCAGAATCTGTAATTCTGATCTCAGGTAGGACCACTTTGACACCTTTTATGCAAAGAAGGGGGCTCCATTTGAAAAAAAAAAAAAAAAAAAAAAAAAAAAAAATCTGATAAAGGGGAGAGCCAATGCTATGAAGAAGAAGCCTGAGAGACATCATAGTCTATGATGAGCTGTTTGATGTAGGACAGTTTCTCATGGAGATACTCGCAGCGTTTCTTCTCTTCCCGGTAGCCTGGGAACTTCTGTGGAGAGAAAGACACTGTTTAACAAAGGTTTTCACACTATTCTCAACCATCTAATAAACAGTTTTTTCCTCAGCCAAATGATGATAATACCCAAGGATAAGAAATATAATAATAAAGAGGTGGAAATAAATGGAATAATATGCAGGGCAATTGCAAAAGGTCTACATCTCCTTGCATGCTTGTCTACTTCCAGAAACACTTCAAATAAAGCATGCTCATCACTTCACTGCTGACTTTTTAGTTGATATCTCCACAGTTTTCTGCCGTTTGCACTTGGTACTGATCATTATCATCACCACACAATGCTAATCCCAGAGTTCTGACTTCACATATTAAGTCAGTAATGTTGTGATTATCTTATATCTAACGTGACTGCATAGCTAATTATTTGATAGTTTGATTGAGTTGCCCACTTTAAAGGGTAACTTCTGTAAATTTAACTTGGACCCTACTTATAGATGATTTTGAGTCTAGGTGACAAACGGACAACAATTTATGAAATTGGTTCAGTACTGAGTAAGAACGTTGCAGCCAGCAGCCACAAAACAGGCTGCGATGAAAACCCTTGGGGCATTTGCGCATCAACAATTTACATCCAGTAATCATTCAAGATTTCTGCTTAAAGAAGTATTTCACTGCTGGAATGCTGGCCTTTTAATAAAACTAAGCTGTCTATGCAGGAAAGGCACAAACAATTTTGAAACTGGTGCTACATGATCATTGAAAACAGAGAAAAAGAGTGAGAAAACCTACAAGTAGCAGAATGCACTGCACTGGGTGACATAATGCAAGTTCATCTGTTTCAAACAATGGCAGCCTGCTGGCAAGAAACAATGCCATATTACAGTTAAATTTGATCAGGTTTTGGTCTGAGTTTGAGAAACAGAGAGAGGGGCGGGTCCGTCTCTTGATCTGCTTCTATTCTCTTGGTGGCAACATGTGTGGTGAGCAACATGAAAAGGCTGAAGTACAGCCTGTAGTTCCATCAACAGCCTGAGAGCCAGCAAAACTCCACCACATGACGTGGTTTGCATTAATTTGTGTCATCTTGCGGAGTTTTGCAGGGGGAGGGATATCTAGGCACTGGTTAGATGGAGGGAAGTTTTCCACAGTTCATTTACACATACTACCCACATTGTTTTGATACAGAACTGGTTGAATAATGGCAAAGTCTCCCTTTAATGACATGTAGGTCTCTAAACATGTATTGTATTGCATAAAACAAGATTCCTGTGTGATTTATTTAAGGAGACAAAACCAATCCAACAAAATAACTTACCTTTCTATACTTGTTGTACTTTTCTAGTATTTGGTCTTCCATTATCTAGATGGTACAAAACACAAATCATTAAATTGTGTGATATACACTGTACACATAGTGTTACTTTAATGGTATAAAACAAAACCTTTGCATTTATTGTATCAGATCAGATCTGGTAGTATGTAGTATGTACCTTATATTCTTGAGTGCCGGGGGACAAGCTTTTGATCTTGGATCCCAGCTGAACAAACATGTGAGTTATGGTGGCGATCCGTGAGTGGAGGTCTTTGTATTCATCATACTCTGCACAGAAATCCTTCTGGTACCTCTCGCGCTGCTCCAAACTCATGATGGTGCCGTATGTGCTAAAAGGGGACACACAATTACAATTTAAATACCTCATAGTATTCTACAAAAGGCTTTTTCCTAAGGTTTCATTATGTGCAGTACCTCTTTTGGGCACAAGAGAGCAGCATAGGGATACAGATACCGCTAAAGATTCAGGTGTACCTCACCATCGGAGAAAACCCTTTATTGGCTGCTACAGTAGAACTGGTTTTATACGAAAGTACTAGCAGTAAATACAAAGAAAAAAGTCTGTCTACTGTTTTGTAACAAGACCAACCACAGTAAGTCTGGTAGCTGAAATGAATTCCTCTTGTGGATGGAGAAAAAAACTGCAAACATGCAGTTAAAATGGGATCGTTAATTGTTAGATGTGGATGTTTACACCCGCTGTTTGTTCTCCACACATATTTTAACACATAATATATCTCAAATGTGTTAAAAGGAAACTACGCCAAGTGATACCACATGGAACAAACACTACAAAATGATTTTAAAACATGTTTACACTCACAGCACATAATCTGGCTTCTCTTCAGAGGCCACAGCGTTTGTGATGTCAGGATCTGGAATAAGCACAGGATAAAGAAAATGACATTAGCTCCAGCTGAGTCAATACACTCATCTACATGATACTTTGTCATTGTCTAAATGTTAAGCAATGTGTTTTTGATTTGGAAAAGGCAGTGTGAGAGTGTGTGTGTGTGCCCGGCTGTGTGCAGACTAGCTGAGAGCTTGTGGGTATCAGGAGACATGTCAGCTTAGAGACACAAAGCACTGCTCGGGCTGTTGTTGAGTATATCAGCCACATAACACACTGAGGACTCAAGAGAATGAGCTTAAGGGAGCAGGCACAGTCACGCTTATGAGATAATACTGTATAAATGCAGCAGTGGGCTGTCAGACAAACAGCTGCTCAGAGAGACCTCACACCACCGGTCATCAGCTCAAAGTCCGTGTGATTAACCTGTTGTTTTGTAGGCAAGTGTGGAGCAGAAACGACAGTTCAGCAGTGTTTTGGGGACAGGGCCATTGCCTGATAATAGACGCAATATATAAAGCAAAAAGTCAGAGAAGCAATTAAAAGGGACAGTTCACCCCAAAAATCTAAACTTATCAGCTATATATCAATCCAGATAGTTTTGGTGTGAGCGTACTTGAACACTTTAGACCTCAAAAATAAGGAGGATTTCAAAACCAAAGCAAACTCTGACTCCGACTCAGACTTTGTTTCCTGAATTCTGGTGACTTCTAAAGATTGAAAATAACAAAGAAATAAGTTCACTGCAACAGAAGTTTTGTGTTTAACACTTGTAATAATTCCCAGGAAAGAATGAAGAATAATTTGGCCCTCTGGCATTAACTCATCAGTTTTCATTCATTGAATTCATCACACCGTGCAACACAGGTGCTTGACAGAAATTTCAACAATTCGTCTTTCCAAAATGTCTGAAATTTGCTTGAGTATTTCTTTCTGTTTGCACTCTGTATGCTGTATTTCACTCTCAGTCTCACTCACTGAGGATGGCGAGGAGTGAGCAGCTCTCTTGCATGTCACTGTGTTGTGTAACTGTATTGTCGTACAGGCGGAAACATTGGAGTCTCAGATTCGTGGGGCTTATACACTGTGCAGTGCCAGGTTGTGATGAGGAAAAGAGAAAAAAAGGTGTGAAGATTTGTTGGAAGATAAATAAATAAATAAATAAATGTTGGGAGATACGGTTGGCAGGTGTAGTTCAGTAAAAATAAAATAGTTCCAACATTAAACTGCTCACAAGGTCTGTGGATTACCTTGAGTAACCAGGTCATGATTTCTGGAAGAAGACATTGCTGTTGAGTTTGTTAAATGTATTTTTTGGCACTTTGAACACCACAAGCTGAGTGCCATCTCGTTCCATTACATTTGAGAGAAGACAAATATATCTCCAACATTCTGCAACTCACAGCAAAGCAATCTAGATTGATAAATAGCACTGTTATTGTTGAATTTGGGGTGATATGTCCAAACTTTCTCTGAGTCTGACTGTCACATGGAAGTCAAAATGGAGTAAGTTTATCTTGATATACAAAAATGTGGTTCTATCAACACTTCTCTTCATCAATGTGTTGGTTTCAAGTTGTAATCAAACATTATAAGAGAAATGCTTTAATCAGTCACAAGAAAAGTCTACGTAAAAAAGAAAAACAGGTCTTACTGTCAAGTTTGTCTGGGTTCTGCTTGAGATCAGGACTCGTCTCCAACCACTCACTGCCCTTGTTATCTTTGATCCACTCCCGCTCCTTGTCTTTGTGCTTTTTAGATTTCTTCTTCCTGTGCTGGCTGCTGGTGTGCTGCTGATACGAGCAGTCAGAGTCACCCTGCGGTGGCTGGTGGCTGCTTACTTTGGGTTCTTTCTCTCTGCTCTCTGAGACGCATGTGTCAGAGGTGTTAGACAGTTTGTGCATTAGAGGAAAGCCACTGTGGCCCCCTGGTAAGCCATTTTGGTTGCCAGTGTGGTTACTTGTCCGTTGAAACTCAGTCTTTGTGTGGAAACTGGGGTTGAGGGTGGGAGCTGCAATGTCGTGCCCTTTACTGTTTAAGAGTCCGTTTACTGCGGGCTGCTGCTGCAACCTCTGGTCCACAAGTTTTTGTCTCTTAACAGCAAGACTGTCCACTGGGTCAGAAGGCATGGGACGTTTCTGGGAAAGGAAGAAAACACAGACAGAAATCAACCTTTATATTTCTGTACAGAGCCATAAACAATCTGCAACACAGCTTGTCAATATGATGTCAAACTCTGACTGTTAGTCTACATAGAAAATACCATTTACAACCTTTTCTTTTATACTTCACCTGTCAGCTGTCATCTAAAACCAACAAGCCAAAGACAATATATAATACAAACTTATTTACACATAAGCATTGTTAAAAACAGATTGGTCACTTTCACATATGTTAAAATTTTACTGAAAAATATAACAGCTATTTACCACTGCAGCATTTTTGGCTGTACTGTGATGTAGTGTTGTATCGTCTGAGGTCTTCAGCATCGACACATTTGCTTGAAGATTCCTTGATTGGTGGCTGATGTGTGGCTGCAACTTCCTGTTAAACAGAAACAACAAGAGACTTTGCAGTTGAAGACAAAATATACCAAAAATATTACCAATGTGGTATTTGCAGACATTCAACAAGCAAAGTTTATGTGGATCTACAGGAGAACTAACAAAACTGAGCATGATAATGAAACAGATTACAGCGGGGAGCTGTGAGAAACAACTGTGGCTGTAAAAAAGACATTTTTCATGTCCAATTAGTATTCTGCTGACAATAAAAAAACAAAAAACACAGACTGAATCAAAGTGAAATGGGCTGTGTAATGAGAAACAGGTGTAATTATCAGTTTGCTGAGGTTTAGCTTGTGCCTGTGACTCACCTGGCCAGCAGCCTGCTGATGAGCTGTCTCTCCTCCTCGCTGTAGCCTGGCCAGTCTCTCTGCACGTGCTTGTAGAAGTCATCCCTCAGCAGGTAGCTGCTGTCTTTGGGATTCACTTTAGCCACCTAAAACACAATATAGCACAGGATGTTACTTTCACCCATTAAAGTCTTGAATGTCTGACTTTTATCACACCTGAGCACACAGCTCCAACGTATATTAAAGAAATCTGTAATCTTCTCTGAAATAATACACTCCACTGGAGTCACAAAAAATTAAAATCTGCTTCTTTGATGTTCGATTATGTAAAGTAATGTCCTGGGATTTATCAGCATCTAGAATTAAAATTCCAGTCATACACATAAACAAGAAAGAGACAATACTTTTTTCCTAACAGGGAATGTATTGGGCCCCAGCTATTTGCTGTGTCTGTCTGCTGTTGGTGCACAGAGGGAAATTAGAGCTTCTTCCCTGAGAACAGCTGCCTGCTGTGAACGAAAACAACACCTCTTCATGCACGTGTGCTAACTTGGTATGACTTGGTTTGACACGGTGCATCAGCCCAGCGCGACAGGGATTTGTATCTCCATACCACAGGGATATCTGCTGAAAGATGTGTCTTTAACTGTTGAGCTGCATGTCTTGAGTCGATGATGTATAAAAGCAATACTCTGCCTAGTGCTGTTTACAATTGGTCTGTGCAATTGCATTTTAAACTGATGAAGTATCTGCAATGTTTGAAAACAGCAGCTGAGGCTATTTAAACATGCTGCTGTATCGTCACTTAATAATGATGAAGCCCATTCGATCATTATGTCAAGCTGCTTGGAGGCAGTCGGGCACACTTTGGCCCGACTCTGGAAGTGGTCAATTTTGAGCTTGAGTTATGGAAATGCATATCAACGGGGTATGATTTGACTCTGTGCGGCCAAAAGAGCCAATAGAAAAGCCCTACATGAGAGCGGTGAGAGGTACCACCAAACACGGTCCCTAACTGGAGCCCTGAACGTGCTGAAAGCGGCACTTCCACATTCCTGAAAATCAAAACCCTTTTTCTGCCATTTTGTTCCCATCTGAGAGTCTCAGGCTTTAACCTCCTCTCTAATCTCATCAGACTGACTTTCTCAGAGGACATCTGTCTTTCTGGGTCCTCCTGACAGAGTGGCCCGCCCCTGTGCAAACACAATCTCTGCAGAGACAATTACAGCATCAACCTAATTACACACATGCACGGACACAAAAACCACATGCATGCACAGGCATCGACAAGCACAAGGGCAATAAATACACACACATGCACACACACGCACACCAGTGCTGACAGCACAAACACACAAACATCATTTAGGAATAACAAAAAAAATGTATACAGGAGACTCACATAAAGTAAATGTTTCTAAATTAGATCACAGGTTGAATTAAAGCACAGCTGGCCCCTGGTTTCTTTCAATACACAATTATGTATTTGCAAGCTGAAACGTAGATCTCGATTGTTCACAGTCTGGGTCACATACATTTCAGAAACATGATATTAAACACTGCCAAGCGAATGGTTTTTTTGCTCTGCTGTTGAGTGGAAAGGGTTTATTAATGGTGTTAGGTGCATTTTACGATGTGACAATAGCTGGCTGTAGCAATACTGTAGCGTTTCTATGCATGATACTTGTAGGGAGTGTGTAAATGTATAGGCCAAATGTGTTTAGGCAAAAACACACGTGACAATGTCCACAATGTTTTTTTTAGATGTGTTCAGGATTATACAAGTCATATAAATGTTTAAAACCTCTGTGTGCAAACCAATTATGCACACATGTAAGTGATATGTGTACATACACACACACACACACACACACACACACACACATACACGCACTATTTCTGCATACCTCCTCCAGTATGGCACCCAGCTCGGCCTTGTCCTTGGGGCCTGCTCTTTCTCTTTCCAGCCACAGCAGCAGCTCCGGTTTCCTGTAGGGCTTGAGAGCTAGGAGGTGGATGATGCGCTCCCTCAAGGGCTTCTGGGTCGGTGTGGACATACCGCCGTTCCTCCGGTTGTTGGTGAACTGCTTATGGAAGCTGCTGTCTGACGCAGACAGAGGAGCCGGCCTCTTTTGGTACTTCACACATTTACCTTATGACACAGAAGTAGATAAGGAGAACAAGATTCATGTCTAAGTGATACTCAGTCATACATTGGAATTCTTAAAGGAGCTGTATGTGACGTTCAGAACAATAATATAACAGCAAACCACTATTTGCTATGTAAAGATATAGTGGGGTAAAGGCATCCTGAGCAGAGAGTAAAGTCACGCTCCCTCTGTGTGCGTTGTAATCCAAGCTTCTCTTTTCTCTGTTGTGGCAGACTGTTCTATCACGTGCAGGTGAGTCCCTGTGAGTGTGTCCCACTAGATAGCAAATTGTTGCTTCTCTGCACTGTGCTCATACAGTGGTTACCGCTAAAATCAGGATGGCGTTGCTGTGGAAGCATAGCACCCACCCTCTAGTCCCCGCCAGGTAACAAGGTTAACTCTGCTGGCACTGTTGCCATTGTGAGTGCTGTTTAAGGAGTTAGCTACTAGCTGCTGGATCAGACACCTCCATGTTGAGAACCATATGCAGACAATGTCGCCCCAGACTCTGAATCATACACTCCTTTTCCCACCAAAATTAGCGTGTCTATGCGGGTTTTTAAATGCAGGAAAATCTGTTAAAATTAGGCGATAGACTCTTTTCTGATCGGCAGTAGACAAACATGCCTTTTATTTTGTGGCATTTTCTTTCTGGTGTGTTACATTCGACATCACAGACAGGCCAGAAAGAATGTGCGAGCGTTATTTGGACGGAGATGGACAGTATTTTTTGGCAGTTTGTCATTGCATTACGCAGGCAAAGGGGTTAAAATTAGTGCGTCCACCAGGGTGTCTTATTTCCATCACTGCCCATCAGAGCCGATGGGAGCTGGAGCTGATAAAAACCAGTGACTACTGCAAAGTTATTTGTCCCTTGAGTTAATGCCATTTGTAAAGCTTTCCCATTAAATACAAAAGCCAGATGTTAGTGGGTGTAAGTGGTTTTTTTTGTCCAGCTGGAAAGAGGCTAGCCTATAGATGTGCTCTGAATGTTGCACATTACTCCTTTAAGTTGTATTTGTATCACATTTCCCCCAAAGTTTACACAATATAAGGAAATTTATTTTACATCTTTCTAAGGGGTGTTAGTATAAGTGTATTGGTGTACTGTGGTATGTGTCTTTTAGTATGTGTATTGTGGTATATGTTGATGATGTATGTGTTATGGTATATATACAGTGGTATGTAAATTATAGTGTGTGTATTGTGGTATTTGTATTTCATTGTGCCTTCTTTTTTTTCAGTGTGTTGTGGTTTTATGATGTTTAAAACTGTTTATTGTAATAACACTGTAGGCCAACATGTAAAAGCCCAACTAGGGACGAGAGTTGAAAATTAGCAATGGCTATCCAAGTCTGTGCAACACATCAGTCTTATACCCTGTGTTGGAACTGTGTTAAATTGTATCGTACCTAGCAAATAAATAAAAATAACTTGTTGCCTTTAAATCGGTCTCAGTCACAAGAAATCTAATTTTAGGAATTCCCTGACATTTAGCGAGACTTAAGCTCATTGGAACTAATTTGTGAGCCTGGAGGAAGGAAGATCTGCAACAGGACCTCAGTGAAATGTACCATGCAAACATTAAAACAAAAGGCATTTCATACTTTTACATAGTAGAACAACCGCAAAAATGTGACAGACAAGGTTCAAGGCAGCCAGATTTTTAAAAACTCTCACCACTTCTACCTGTTCTGCTGGTTGACCAATGAGGCAACATGCATTAAAATACCCTCTAGTAACCTTTATCTCTGGCTCCCATGTGCATGTTGGCCTGCAGCTATTTGTCGCCAGATGTAAACCCCCCATAGATCATTGCTTACATCTCTGCTGCAGACAGACAGGGCAGTGAAAGCTATCTCTCTGTGCTAATCCCATTACAGGTTAATCTGTGCTTTGAAGGTCAGAGTGGGGCAGAGGTACAGGAAGGGAGGGCTTTTCTTTCAACCACAAAATTATGTCCTGCCAAGTGATAATAATTTTAATCTACCAGCAGTCATTCATCCTGAAAAAAAAAACAAATACACAGAAATATGTAATAATTATGTCATGTGTTATATATTATGGGATGCACGGGGTGTCAGATGCATGCTCCATAGGCTTTGACATGCCTGATAATATGCACTGTGTTCACAACTACCTCCTGGGGCTGAAATGGGAATGCAGACTGCAGTTATTAAATGTTTCCCTACAGGAATATATGTTGCTTAGTCACCTTCAACTTAAGGTCTGATGTTACACAATCCTCACAGTCTAAATTTGGTCTAAACCACCAAGAGCTCCAGCTTCCCAAGAGCTCCAGCACTGACACAGGGGTCTAAATCATGCCAAGAAGCAAAATTGCATAACAACGAAAAAGGTTGGAGAAAAAAAAAGAAAAAGAAAGTCTCTTTTCATAACATGAATGTGTTGTAAAGTGTAATTGATGGTCAAGATCTGAGAAAACACACACACAAACTGCGTGTCTGCCAAAATTTAAACATTGGAGACCGCAGCATTGTTTGCAACAACAGTGAGACATTTCAGCACAAGCTTGCGGCACCACGCTGCAGGAGAATTAAGCTGTTGCTGAAGAAAATGAACTACTTACAGCCTTGTGGAGATAATATTTCATCTTCGTAAGCCAAGTTTTAGAGATACACCCCCATCACTTCTTCCAAAGAAACTACACTCTTGAACAGAACAAACAGGAAGAACCTAGCTTTGAATCTTTGAATTGGCCTTGTACCTCTGAAATGATGGTTAAAGACAGAAGCTGCTGACTTTGACCATCACCAAACTTTCATTTGGTCCAGCACTCTTCAAAGCCAGATGTGAGAGGAAAGACAGAATAGGACTTGACAACAAAGTGACAACCAAAAGCCAAAAAATGGTATAAAATAATAAACATAAGAGACAAGAGTTAGCTTTAAGTCTGCTCTGTATAACCTGAATTATGGCCAACACATCTGGTTTCATTACACATTAAAATAGGAAAATATCTGGTTTTCAGCTTAAGGCAATGAATATGGCAATATTTTTTTCATGTGAGGTAAATATTTCTATTACTTTTATTGGTGCTATTATATTTCTATTTTCTGTTTTTATATGCCATCACATTCAATTTGCTGTTCCCCCTCCAAGCTTTAAGCCGTTTGGTCTTTCGCCATGAAACTCTGCAGATGCATCATCCTCTGTCCCTCTTTTCTTGCTCCACAGAGACCTCTGGTCTATTCTTACTTGGATGTGTGGCTCCAGGTTTGATCTCAATGGCGGAGCGGCTCCAGCTGTCCTTCTCCACCTGAGACATCCTCTCACGGGTCATCTGGTAGGAGTCGTCGGTGGCACACACTGTGATCTTGTCCTGGATGACACCTTGACCTTCCAGCTGTTCGCGGCCATCACTGCAAAACAAAAGCACAGGGCCACTGAAACCACTGGCTGTACAGTGAGCACTGTAAAGACACAGGCCTATAAGCTGTCTTATAGCAGCATACCAACATAGACGCCATGCGGCATAAAGTGGCTTTGTGGTGGGAGCTGGCTCAGACAGGTCTATGGTTACTGTATGTTATGTCAGACGCTAGATATAGCTCTGCAGCCTGCTACGTGTGAGAAAGCCAGATATCCTGGTTCAAAGCAGGATAGAGCCTGTGGAAAACCACCAGGATTAGTGTGGCTCCTGCCAGCACACTTGCAAAACAAAGTTCATCTTGGACAAATGTTAAAAAGTTTAATACATGAACCTGGGCTGCATTAAGGCTGTAAATAAATCAAAGATTTACTGTGATGCCTTTTTTTTCACATTCATAAAACAGGAGCCTTTTCCCTGCTCCAATTTTAATTTTCACAACACAATTATTTACGTGACCACAGCTCATTTCTCCTCTTATTCCTCTAAATATCGAAACAAATGTAAGGGCGGAGAGAGCAGGATCTTGCCCTCATGCTGTTGCGCTGTTTGTCTTGGCTCCAGCAGCTGACTGGAGCCACAGCGAGTTTGAGCTCAGACCACAGTTAGCCATCTGGCAGCAGGAGGCAGCAACAGAGCAAAACCCTTAGTTTCCGAGCATATCCACTCCGTAAACAAGGCATCACAGGTCTCGGTAATGAGAGGGTCAGCCCAGAAATATACAGGAAATTACAACTGCCCCATCCTGTGTACAGCAAGCAGTGAGCTAACTGTTTCTCACGATGCCCTGACACGAGGGCTCACAGAGAGCTGACTGCTGACCTATGAAGGGGACAAAAGGGTATCATCTGGGGTCACATGAGCCACAACCACTCTATCACATCCAACAATTGCATCTAAAGTTGTTGCGACAGACAGATCTGGAACCTCAGCTAATTCAGGCACACTTCTTAGATTGTTTAAACTACATATTTGCCTTTGCTGATCTATATGAAAAAGAAAAAAAAGATTTCTGGGTGGTTTTCCCTGGAGCATAAGATGGAATTGTGAATCAGGAACAAAACGGTTTAGAGTGCAATTTTTAAAGAAAATAAAATAGTTTAATGCATTAATCCAAGGACATACAGTGTGCAGAGATATGAGGTTTCGGCTGATTGACTCTCTACCTTGAAACATATTGATGGATGCAGTCAAAGCTCGCTTGAGGTTGGTCTTTGCTGTCGCTGGATAGGTAGAAGGAGAAGACGCGAAGAGCAGAGGGTGACTCTGGTGTGGGAGCTGGGATCTTGATGTACTACAAAGAAAAACAGCACAGTCAGATCTGACTTAAACATACAGTCCAACAAACATAGGTGACTGGCATATAGACAAACAAATGACACAGAAAACAGTTCAGTCACTCATATGCCAGGTCTTCCTGTCTGTTTTTAAAAGGCTTTTGTCTTCATAAACAGATTTGGAATACACTGTATGTAAGCACAAGCAAATATAATGGTTTTATTGTTTCACAGACCTGATAACAGCTAGTTATTTTAACTTGTCAGTGTTTTCATAAGACCTCTTGAGTTCATGCATCTTTTGTTATCTTTCAAACTGTCAACTTTTTGTAGGGAAAAGAAATGATCTACTCAGCAGAATTTCAGAGACAAACTCTGCTGCCAAATGTGTTGCAGCCAAGAACACAGGGCCATCCAAACTTTGGGTTTTTTGCAATCAACATAAATCAGTAAAGTTTCTTTTTTCACAACTTAACAGCCCATTGCAAACACCAGGCTCTGACAAGTATACTTAAAACGGTCCTACATAAATAGTTTACTCCAAAATGACACAGAAAGTCTGAAAGCCTGCTACCAGAGGCTGCACTGTTGAACAGAACAAACACCATACTGACAATTAAGAGTCTTCTAGAGCCATACCAGTAGCGGGGCTAAAAATGTACACATACGTAGGTGATAAAAAAGAAAGGGTTACATAGCTGTTGAAATTTAACTGATTTATCCTCTTGGGAGCACGAATGTACTTAACAAATTTAAAGGGAAACTATTATACTCATTTTCAGGGTTAATACTTGTAATTTGGGTTTCTACTAGACACATGCTTATATGCGCTCATGTGCGACTTTATTTTTCTCATACTGTGTGCACTGAAACACCTGTATTCACCCTTTGTCTGAGACCCTCCCGAAAAAGCCTAGTCTGCTCTGATTGGTCAGAGTTTCTGGGTACTGCACATCTCATCATCTCTGCACTGCAATTGCAGCCTAAGGACTGACTGTACTGGAGTATAGCAGCACTATCCATTGTGAAAAATCGCCAGTAAAATCTTTAAAAGCAAAATCTTCACCACCAAACATGCCTGAATGTCCGCTTGTGCCTGAATAAATTTGTATTCACTGTCGGTCTGAAGCGATCGGCTAGCACGTCTTTAAGTGAAACTTTAAAAAAAAAAAAAAAAAAACCCTAGGCTGCTGTGATTGGTCAGAGTTTCTGGGTCCTCTGCATCTGCTCTCTCCAAGCCCCGAGGAATGGCACCAGGCTTCAAAGCCAATTTGACATAGTAGTCAAACATCCCATCACATGATGCCATAGAGCCAAAAAAGACTTTTTTTCCATAGACTTACACTGTGAAAGAGACAACTGTAAATCAGTAGATTTTTTGGGGGGGAATGTTGCAACCTCTGCAAAATAACAGGGATGTGATCCATTTGGTTGGATAACATTTAGAAAGTCTAGAAGAGCCACACACTTAAATCATTTTATCCCTATTCCGGTTAGCAGAGAGCTTAACCCGAAGTTAGCCACTGAAAGTCTCTGGTGCACTTCCTCTATGGGCCCCATCCCCGGAAATTTATACCTATTCGAAGTCGAACTCTTTTGGCTTCATATGCCACTGAGCAACTTTAATGGGAATGATCTGGGGCCCTCCTCCAATGCTGTATCCAGTTCTCATTATACATCCATGGTGCTGTCTGCGTCTCTGCACCACAAGTGCAGCCAGGGAAATGACTGTAACAAAGTATAGCGGCACTTTCTGTTGTGAGATATCACCAGTAAAAGCTTCTAAACCAAAATCTTCACAACCGGATCTTTTCACATTTTTCAGCAGGAATATAATCACAAACCGGACAGATATTTACAACTTCAGCAACCAAGGTCATATGTTTTCCTGGTGTTAGCATGTAGCTATATGTAGCAGTGTACTTGCAACCAGGGAATGATTTTGTATAGAGGCACTTTCTCCCATTAAATATCACCAATAACAGTTTGTGAATACAATTGGACATGCTCCAGCAGGAATAATAATGTAGCTTCACTTAGCAGTATAGGTTACTTAATGTACACTTGCAGTAGCGTTCTGGAAGCAGGTGACCATGTCATAATCTGATGACATATGGCCAGTATAGATAATATACAAACAAACACCTGAAACCGACTATTCGGAACTTTCTGAAACCTGAATGTTTCGTTCATAGGGATTACTTTGGTCACCTTTAACATGAACATCCATCTTTTTAATGTTATGACAGAAAATAAGCAAAAGTATTAAAGGTCCCATTTGATCGGTGTTGGTAATAAATTTATGAGATATCTTGCGTGCTGGTTTTATATTCTAGCCTGATAATGGCACAGGAAAAATAGTTAAGTTAAGTTTAAGTTTATTTACTTTATTAATCCCCGAGGGGAAATTCAATGTTTTCACTCTTGCTTGTCAATTACACACAGGTCCGAAAGACACACACATGCACAAACAGGACCTATACATGTACAAAGTGGAGAGATGTCAGAGTGGGCTGCCCTTGGTGAGGCGCCCCGAGCGGTTGAGGGGTTCGGTGCCTTGCTCAAGGGCACCTCGGCAGTGCCCAGGAGGTGAACTGGCACCTCTCCAGCCACCAGTCCACGCTCCATATGACGGGGACTCCAACAGGCGACCCTCCGGTTCCCAACCCAAGTCCCTATGGACTGAGCTACTGCCGCCCCACAGCTCATAGAGTTTCCAGACACAAGAGGATTCATGATTTGGGGAGTATGGACGTGCTCTCTTTATTTTGGCAAACTGAGGTTCAGATTTAGAGGTTTCTTGAGTGGGAAGTTTGGTCTAATGCTAACACCAGACGAAAGGTCAGGCTGTCACCAAAAACATTCACGTCCTGCTACTCAGGGAACTTGAATATCCACAGAAGAATTCATGATGTTGTGTCATTTAAAAAGTATGATACATAAAAAATAAAATCCTCCTATTGTTTGTTCATCAAAGACAGTACTGTCTGATAAATGCTTCTCCTCAGAGACTGGGAAAAGTGTATTGAATCCAGATGAAACACATCTGAGTCTTCCATCAGAGTACTGGAAGACAGTACATGCATGACCTGATCATCGTCACTGGGGAAAATCTGGGAGATAACTCAAACTTATGAACATGTAGTGCAGCTGTTTGACTACAAAGCACTTGGTTTACAACGGATGATTTGTGGATAAACAATCCAATTAAATGTCATATATGTTTCTGGAAAACACTAACAGCAAACCACTACTTGCGTATCTTGTTTTTATCGCATCTTCAACGCAGACTCGCATGTATGAGTAATACACACACACACACACACACACACACACACACATAAAGGATCTAGAGTGAGACTTTGTGCCGCTCTGTAACTTTAAATAAATCTCCTTGGGTAAACTGTTTTTAAGAGTCCGCTCCACTGAGGCGTCCATGAGATCTCCTGGCAGACTCAGTGGAGCGCATCAGAGCCAAGGCTGCAACCTCCAGGGCAGACAAACGCACACACGAACACACACGCAGACATGTAATAACAGATGAGGAGAAATGAGGATCAGAATCTTCCCTGATTTGACCACTGAAAAAGATGTAATTGCACGTTTGTAAAAGCAGAATTCTGAAATACTTCCTTACAACTTGACTGGTATTTTCATTTAGCTCATGTGAAATTCGCAGCACCGCACTACAGAGGCACTACAGGAGCTTTTGGGGGGCACAGAAGGGAGAAATGGATACAGTGAGAGACAAGTCATGAGCTACAGTAAATAAAGTTAGTTAAATCTCAGAGTGAAAGGTCCCCCTGCAGAGGAGATACACACTGTCATCACAAGTATTCTTCACTGCCTTCCAACTCTGGCGGCGAGGTCAGCAGTTTCCCAGCAATCCCATTCTTCATGCTGCAGGCAGCTGTGCCATCTTTTTCAGGGTGGGGAGCAGCTTTAAGTGTTAGGATCATGAGGGATTTCCACTACTTTCTCCACGTGTATCCCTCTGGTCTCCTCGTTTTTCAAAAAACACTCGGTTTCTGCTCTGGTTTTCCCACCTGTGCATGTGATACTGACTTCCACAGAATCTACAGGCGCTGGGCCGCATGATCTAAAGTTGACTTTAGGACTCAACAATAAGGACTGCCCCATTGCCCAGGGCAAGTAAAATGCCACGAAGGGCTGGTAAATCTTGCCACTCAATTGCCTGATCTGGCAAGTGGTATAAAAGAATGAAATACATAATTTTTACCCGGGGCTAATGAGGGAAGTAGCTAAGGAGTGAGCCATCTTGCTTCCTCCTCATGTCTGTTTAGAGTTGCACGTGCACAGTACCAATTAGACACTAGGGAGAAAATGGCAGCTGGTAGAGACAAAGTATATGAGCTGAAGTGCAAGCGAGCATTTCAATTATTCTAGAAACAAGAGTTTAGCTGGGTGCCATTCAAGAATATGGGCAGAACTCCAACCAATTGCCCATTTTGACGCAAGTTTGAGAGCAAGGCGGATAAAATGGAGTCATTTTTCATGACAATTTCTATAATTTGTGTTGTTATTTGATAACCAATAATAAATAAAACAATCATCTCATTATTCTGAAATGTTCTCCTGGGAAACCTTTGATCCTTCATTTGACTGCTACTTGAAACACTCCACCCAACCATGTTTGAGCATCTGTAGGAAGTGCTGGTACCCCACCTCACAACCGTCAGGTCTCAAAGGATCTGCCGCCAACAACCCAGTGCCAGACACCACAGGACACCCCCAGAAGTCCTGTGTCCTTGCCTTGATATGTCAGAGCCAAGTTCGACCCAAGGAAGCTCCACTGTGGATCGGGGGTACCAGCCTGTCGCAGGAATGCTCGATTCAGATTTGGGTCTGGAGAACCTGGAGGCCAGGTCGATGCCTTGAGCTCTTTGTCACGTTACTCAGGCCATTGCTAAACAGTTTTTACAGTGTGGTGTGGTGCAATGTCCTGCTGGGGGTGTCACTGCAACAGTGTTTGTGTGGGTGATGCGTGTCAAGTGGC